GGCGCAGTCACTGCACTTATGGGAAAAGAGGCAGCGATGGCGTGCACAGAGGCGGTTGAGACGGTGATTGGAGAACACTACGATGAGTGAGTGATGTCATATTGTTTGACTCCTATATCTCGTTTACACTCTTGACAGTCAATTGCGAGATCTTGCAAGCTTTCCTACTCATGACCCGAGTATACAACTCTTGAAGGACGTTATCCGAGAACTTCGAGACGATGAACTTGAACATCTGGACACAGCTGTTGTCAACAACGCTCAGCGAGCTCCAGGGCATGCTCTACTCAGCACAGTCGTTGGCGCCGGATGTCGTGTAGCTATAGAGCTTTGCAAACGAATATGATGATTCGAATCCAACCTATATCGAAACTCTAGCTTCACGATTCCTCTTCTGATGGCTTTGGCGGCGGGGGCACTCTAAGCAATGATTCTCCCTTCAGTTTGCCTCTCCAACTCCACTTCATCTGCGATCTCGGTTTAAATATCTATTTAGAAGTGGATCACAAATGCCGACTCACGTCTTGCGACCAACACAACCAGCCAACGGAGGCAGGGATGAAGATGCCTAACCAAAATACAGCTGGGGCATTTCGTCGTGTCAGTCTGAAGTGCTTGTAAACATCTTCACGCTGTATACGAGTTATCCGTGAGTTAGACTACATGCTTTGAAAGAGTGGATTTCAAGCGAACCATGAAGTTCCATTTCTCGACCGCTGGGTCAGTCTACGAAGCGCTATGTTTAGTCCCAGTGTAACATATTGTGAGAAGGACAACCTTCAATGCAGCTAATAAATCAACCTTCAGTATAGAAAGTTAGAAAAGACATCAACACCTACGAGAGCCAGCCATGGTTGGAAGCGCTGGAGGTGTGTTCAATCTCCGCTCCTCTCTTCTTCTTCTCCATCAGGCGACATAATGGCCTATTACCGTGAATGGGACCAAGGAAAATCCTATGACCAGGGAAATTGGGACTCGAGTGCATATGGTGGCGGTGGCGAATACGATGACTATTCTGGAGGGGCTGAGAAGCGACGTAAATTCAACAGTGGGGTTAGTATCAAATCCAGCCACAGTGATACCGGATGTCCCCAACCTATATCTATGTGCAGGAATATGATTCACGCGTCAATCTTCAATATGAACGTCCTCAGGCTCATTATAACAACCCGCCTCAAGATGGAAGTGATCATGGATTTGACCCCCGAGGAAATCAACCTCGTCGCCGACTAGTTCCCAGTGAAACGAGCCGACATATCATTTTTCTGGGTTTAGATCCTGATTTTACGGAAGGAGACGTATGTGTCCGAAGTCTTTTTCTCGAGACTAATCATCTTACGCGGACAACAGCTCCAGCAGTACCTTCAGAGCGCGGGCTGCTTGCTCGATAGTGTCACCATCATTCGAGATCGCGGAACAGGCACTTTGCAATCTGCACTTTTCAAATTTACTCTCTGACCGACGGTGCACGGCTTCAGGTCTCTCGAAAGGCTTTGGTTTCGCACAATTTACATCAATGGAACAAGCCGAATCCTTCCTCCGGCCCAATTTTCCTTTCATCAACGTTCCGCCCCCAGCATCGCATGGTGCATCAGCTGCAGCCGCCTTCAAACTCGCCTTGGATACTGGGGCTCCACATCAAGGTCGGCGAGTCAAGATTGACTTTTCCCAAAGCGCACACCCCCCTGAAAGAGGGAGAGGCATGGGTCCACGTCAACCTAACAACGATGGCACTCGTGATATCGGGAATTCTCAGGCTACAGTTCTTTTACTTCGTGGATTGGACCCCATGTCTACCCCCGCATCCATTGCCCTCGCTTTACGAAGCGCAGCTGGTCCAGGTGTAGATCCGACTAAGGGTTTAAAGCGAGTCATCCTTATTAAAGATAGGGCTACCGGCGCCAGTTGGGGCTATGCATTCTTGGAACTTGTAAACCAAACGGTAAACCAGTCTTGATCCCGGAAAACTTTTACTCATCTGCCTTTTAGCATGCGTCCACTCTTCTTGGTTACCTGATTTCTCCTCAATTACATCCATCGGGCTTCCGTATAAACGACCGCCCAATCGCAGCTTCCTTCGCGCATCCCTACTCGTTCCAACCCTTGCAAGAAAACGAGATCAGAGATGAAGCTTGTGTTCTGTCATCTAATAATATTGGCGGAGTCGAAGGAGTTTGGGCGAAATATTGGGATGAGAACTCAGCGGTAGCAGAGATGACCTTCGACGTTCAGGAAGAAGAGGAGCCAGAATCACAGCCCGTGAAGGAAAAGAAGAAAAAGGAGAAAAAAGGTGCGTAGACAGTCTGTTCGTGCTAGGATGAAATTGAAAGTTCGCCGTCCTCCAGCTGGCGATGCTGAGGTGTCGGCATTTTTGGGCGGCATAACGGAGGACCAGAATCAGGAATCAGGGCCTTCTACCTTGCCGGTGTCCGACAAACCTGTGACTCTGAGTTTCAGTAAAGGTGGTCTTACGACCAACAAACCTACTATCATCAAACCGATAGGTATGTATGCCTGTTTGCCCAGCAATCCGCGTTTAAATGTCACTAGCAGCGGCCATGGCGAGACCGCCTGTATCCGGCCTTGTTCTTGGTGCAGATGATGCTGACGAGGAAGCTCTCGCAGGGGAGCCCGGCAGTTCCGCCGGCGCCTCGAATGAACCGTCGAAAGGTCGGGCTCATTCATCGCCAGAGTTTCACTGTTAATCATTCAAACCATTAGCATTTGCGTTTAAGAAAGTTGCACCCCTGATCGCCAGCAAGAAAGTTGTGAATAGCATCAATAAGTGGAACACGGTACAAGAAGAGCTGCGTGACGGCTCAGCTCCGAAGCCATTGGATGTTGCCGTGATTGAGCCCACAGTAATCGTGATTTACTTCCTCGACATTTCAGCTTTCATGGGCGTCCTCTAATGTGTGGCGCTCCCAAATGCAGGAAACCGTTCAGAAAGCAGCTCCAGAAAAGGCCGAAAAGTCGAAAGGGATTAGTCCAACGATTGAGGTGGAATTTGAGTTTTCGAATACTCAGACATTGGCTTGCTACCTCTGTTCGAGACAATTCAAGTCAGTTGAGTTGTTGAAACGTCATAGTATTGAATCGGATTTGCACAAGGTATGTTGTTCGTAGCTTCGGACTTGAAAACCGTCACACCTCTGTTCAGAAAAACCTGAAAGACAGCGCACTTCGCGATCTGGCACGCGAGAAAGCGTCGGGCGTGCGGGCTAAGCAGGAGCAAGATGGAAAGCCGAAGTACCGTGATCGTGCATTAGAGCGGCGTGCTCTGCATAGTCAGCCAGATGTGCCAATTCTTGAAGAAACGACGTCAGGTCGAAATAAGCGAAAGGCAGAGGGGCCTCCTCCGGCTCCACCGCCACCGCCACCGCCAGTCGCGCCCGCCAAGGACGAAACAAACATCGGCAACAAACTGTTGCAGAAAATGGGCTGGACCTTGGGGACGGGACTGGGAACGGAGGGGGAAGGGCGGGTCGATCCGATGTATGTTTTTACCTCCTTACTCTTTTGCAGTCAAGTCTCAATGAACCGGATGACAGCCAAACAGCAATGTACGCCCAAGGTGCCGGGTTGGGCGCCTCAAAAGGCACCGAAGTTGGCAAATATGCAGACGGGTACGCTGGTTATGTGCATAAGGCAAGAGATGCTGTAAGTCATGGAATCTTGCTCCTTTCTTTCAATTGACCGATCCGTCGCTTCCATAGGCAAGAGAACGTTACGAACAATAATTTCTGTATCGAACAGCGCTGTATTTATCAGAAATCTATTGCTAGTAAAACATCAATAGTCCTCTACAAGCGTGTTCAAAGAATGAATGAGCACAAGAGGGAAACTGCTCCAAGGAAGACCGACGCTTCCAATTTACCCGAGGCGCTGGTGGTAGAACTGCTGGAAGGTGCAGAAGAAGTGCCTGAGGTGCTGGATGATTTGCTACTGGTGAGAGACTTTGCGGCCGGCAACGTCGAGGTTTCCACAGCAGAAGTTGCGGACACGGAGATGGTAGAGACACCCTGCTCGACTTGAATATAATTTCCCTGATATCAATTAGAAAAAAATCTCAGGGCTGGGAAGTGTACTGACAGCTACAAGCGGACCGAGGCCAGTGGTCTGGAAAAGCGTCAACGAGGCCAGAGCTGAAACACAAAAAAAAAACCTGACAAACCTGAACATAGGAATTAAAGTCGTAAGCCGAGACAGGAACACCAGGGGTGGAGAGGTTTGCGGGAGGCGTGAATGAGGCAGGTTGGGAATAGAGCAAAATGACATAACTGTATGAGGAGTGAGCTCAAGCTGAAACCGAAGACAGCTGTTAGATACCGATGAGACCCAGATCCAGCTGCAGGGAAAGGACTGGCATAGTCGGTGATGTTTACCGCAGACGTGAAACTCAAGCCATCGCCTATTTGGGTGTCAGGAGAATATAGTACGGCAAAACAAACGACAGACTTGAGTCCAGCGTGACATTGTTAGCAAGCCAGTGCCTGGTCTGTCCCTGGGATTCGTCAAAGCCAACGGGACCCGCGTCCACCATGGCTAGCGTGAAAACTGATCCCAAAGAAACAGAGCCGTTTGCAGGAGTGACCACGATCTGGGGGGTCGGCTTAACCTCTATGATGGGCGTGAGCTGGGCCGACGCGAGCGCAGACAAGACTCACGATCTATGGTCAAATTTTGACCAGGAGTAATGTCGCCCACGCCGGCGAAAGAGACGGTGAGGAGGGCGCCGGGGTTGAAAGACGCCAAGAGGGCAGGGACGATGCCTGCATTTTGGAAGTTTGCTTCGACGACCTCGAGCTCGAGGACGGTGTTGTTCGAAGCCTGAGAAGAAACGAAAGGAATGGCAGTAAGGAGAGACAAGGCAAAGATCGTGAACATGGTAGCAACGTTGACGGAAGATGAATTGAGTTGCAATCATGAAACGCAGTTGCTATCAGGGTTTCATCTTGTGGTGTATATGTATGCAGGGACAGTCTCTTATTATGTTTTGTGGCAGGATGGTCGAGTGGTAAGACGCATGATTTAAGTCCATGTGCCGAAAGGTATCGTGGGTTCGAACCCCACTCCTGCCATACCTTTTTGACTTTTTATCTTCGCGTGTTCCCCAGATTAACGGATGTATTGCGATCGATAAGAGTGATAGAGGCCGAGGCAGGGTTGTGAGAGCGGGAACGGGAGAAGCCACTGAATTGACGATTGGAAATGCTCAGGTGACAAAGAGCACAAATGGCCCAGTGTCCGACGGACGAGTGCGACAGAAGACGGCCTGAGTACTCCAACGGCGAACAACGGCTCGCTGCGAGACAGTAACAGACCAGTGCCTTGCAGGGCCATTCCGCTCCAGGGCCAGATGCTCGGTTTCCTTTTTAGGAGATCGCACTCTTGTCTGTAAAATGTGAACGCGGAACTAAATAACAATTTCGCGCCTGGCGTGTTCGTCGTCTGCGCTGTGTCTGCGCTGTCCGCAAATGATTAAATAAATGGATCTTTGCGCGCAATGCGAGATGCGGATCTGGAGGCAGTGAGTGCGTGGGAAAGTCGAAAGAGGTCACGTTTGCCTCCAACTCAAAGCTCGTTCTCCTCGTCGTCGTCAAGCTCCACTGTCTCCTCCCGCTCTCCATTCTCGTCCTTACCACCCATTCTCTTCTCTCTTAATATCGTCGCTCCTACCCGCCGTACATCGCGTACATCCCAGCTAGACGTCTTCCTGCACCGTTGCCCAATTCGCAATGTCGACTCACGGTGTCATCAACGGGTACAAAACCATGCGTACGTCGCTCTTCATGTCTGTCTAGTCTTCTCCGTATGCTCAACATCATCGTCCCATCCAGCCCTCGATGATCCGACAAAGGTGATAAAAGTCATCGCCTCTGATGGCAAGTCAGGCGAGCAGAAGGACATCGCCTACACAAACTGCAAAGTCGCTGGAAATGGCTCCTTTGGCGTCGTCTTTCAGGCAAAGATGGTCGGCGTTCCCAAAGACTTGGAGGACATTGCCATCAAGAAAGTTCTCCAGGACAAACGTTTCAAGGTACTTGCTCCCCCGTCTCGTGCCACACGCCTCGCCCTCATTGCGCTTCCAAAGAATCGTGAACTCCAGATCATGAGACTTGTCTCTCATCCCAACGTTGTGGATTTGCGAGCATTCTTCTATTCCAATGGCGAAAGGGTACACTTTCACTGATCTTATATGATCCGCCCCCTTTTCCTGATCACTCCACTCTCCCTTGGCAGAAAGACGAAGTCTACCTCAATCTTGTCCTTGAATACGTTCCTGAGACCGTCTACCGCGCCTCTCGTCATTATGTCAAGCTGAAGCAACCCATGCCGACTCTCCAAATCAAGCTGTACATGTATCAGCTTCTCCGCTCACTTGCCTACATCCACTCTGTTGGAATCTGTCATCGGGATATCAAACCTCAAAACCTGTTGCTCGACCCTGCAACAGGCGTCCTCAAACTGTGCGATTTCGGGTCTGCGAAAATCTTGGTGCAGGGCGAGCCGAATGTAAGCTACATCTGCTCGCGCTATTACCGCGCGCCAGAGCTCATCTTTGGAGCTACGAACTACACGACCAACATTGGTACGCGATGCATCTTGGAGTTGTGCCGAGTCACTGCTGACCTCTATTTGCAGATATCTGGTCGACAGGATGCGTCATGGCAGAACTCATTCTTGGCCAGCCATTGTTCCCGGGCGAAAGTGGCATCGATCAATTAGTCGAAATCATCAAGATTCTCGGCACACCTTCCCGAGAACAGATCAAGACCATGAATCCTAACTATATGGAGCACAAGTTCCCTCAAATCAAGGCGCATCCGTTCTCGAAGGTGATCCGAATGACTCTCTTGTCGTGAAGGGGGTAACTGACCAAGTGGTTGCATTGCAGGTGTTCCGTCCGCGCACCCCGCCGGAAGCTGTGGATCTTGTGTCCAAGCTGCTCGAGTATACGCCCGAGGCTCGCTTGAGCGCCATCGAAGCCATGGTCCATCCGTTCTTTGACGAACTCCGTGTTGAGGGGATGAGGATGCCGAACGGGAAAGAATTCCCTCGCTTGTTTGACTACACACGCGAAGGTCAGTGGCTCAAACCATCAGGAGTGGAGTGACCGTGTCTGACGCTGATGTCCAGAATTATCTATTCAACCGGCGCTGAACCGACAGCTGGTGCCGCCTTTCTGTGAACCGGAGCTGCGCTCGCGGGGCATTACGTTGGATGGTTTTGTTCCGATACCTCTTGATCAATTGAGAATTACGCTGGATTGATTGCAGCGCTCCTCTGTCGTTTTGTCTCGTTTTCTGATTGTTTTCCATCGTGTGCCGTATTTCGTAGTTGCGTTACAATGTCCGACTTATATAACATCGGAGTTCGAATTGACCCCCCATTTCGCCATCGCACACAAGAACAGCATAACCAGCGCGAATGTGCCTTTGCGCCCCTACTTCAAGCGAACCCCCGCCCCTTCCTCCCAACCGCCACCATGTCGTCTCCTGACTCGCCAACTCAGTCGCAGTACGCCTGCGACACCATCCCCGCCCCCCTCCACCTTGAAATCGACAGGCACCGCGCACGGTCGCATTCTCCCCAAGACCCTTTGACATATCTGGATATCAGCCCCAATGCTGCTTTTGACGTCCCTACCCAGGAGGAGCTCATGGATGCAGATCACAACCCCCAGGGGCCATCACATCCAGCGGAAGACCTGCCAGGCGCTGGTGCTCCGCCCCCTAGGAAACTCTGCGTTCGTCATTTGAGAATGGCTGATGAAGGCACTCTTTCGCATTTGCAATCAGTCAGTGTCCTGGTTTCATACCTTCCAATATAGATCTAATATATGCTATCTAGTCGCTGGACGCACTCCCGATGTCTGAACGACAGACGATCAACAACATCTGGTCTACATTCTCGTCTTCTCCACATTCTCGGCGAAACATCATTCTCCAAGGTCTTCTCACGATGTGTTGCTTTTCGCAGCTCTCCCTCCTCTCAGATCGCCTAGGAGATCTCATCCGCCTCGACCCCTTCTCTGTCCTTCCAAAAGAAATCTCCCTGAAAGTGCTAGGCTACCTCGACGCTTTTTCGCTGGGCCGTGCCGCCCAAGTTAGCCGCTCATGGCGTGTGTTGGCAGATGATGACGTCTTATGGCACAATATCTGCGAACAGCATATCGGTCAAAAGTGTCGCAAGTGTGGCTGGGGTTTGCCACTTATGGTAGAGAAGAAGAAAAGACTGACTCGCCCCGGTCTCACGTCATCTGCATCCACCGCCTCTGTCTCATCCGCATCCTCACAAGCTGAGGTCGAGCCAGAGCAGACAGAGCGACCGCCGAAACGCAGAAAAGTTTCTCCTGGTCCGCCGTCACTTGAACCTGCGCCCATGATGACCGCCTACTTCGATGCCCCAACTCAGATGACGAGGCCGTGGAAATCGGTCTATTGTGAGCGTTTGACTATCGAGAGGAACTGGCGTAGTGGACGATGCTCTGTGACCACCTTAAAAGGTCATACAGATGGTGTCATGTGTATGCAGTTCAACGAGAACTTGATACACCCCTCGTATCCTGTTCTCATTACCGGCTCATACGATCGCACTGCTCGCGTATGGAATCTCGAAACTGGCGAGGAGGTCTGTGTTCTGCGTGGCCACACTCGTGCGGTTAGAGCCCTGCAATTTGACGAAGCCAAGCTCATCACCGGAAGTATGGATCGCTCATTGCGCGTTTGGAATTGGAGGACGGGTGCTTGCATCCGCGTTCTCGAGGGCCATACAGAGGGCGTTGTATGCCTTAAATTCGATTCCAACATCCTGGCTAGCGGCAGCGTCGATACGACGGTGAAGATATGGAACTTCAGGAACGGCGAATGTTTCACGCTCCGTGGACATCGCGACTGGGTCAATGCGATCGAACTCTGGGACGATCCGTCCTTCGCCTTCTCCGAACGACCGACACCGAGTACCTCCGCCAACGCCCTCCCCGATATCGACCCGGGGAAACTTCTCTTCTCTGCTTCCGACGATGGTACCATTAAACTATGGGATTTAGCTCGTCGTACCTGCGTCCGCACGTTCACCGGCCACGTGGGCCAAGTACAATCTATCAAGCTTCTAATGGTCGGTGCCGACTGTGCGGCCGATGATTCGGACGATAGTCATTCTGATCGCGAAGATGGAGACTCCGACCATGCTACTCGTGTGGACAATAACCTAGCCTCTCCTGGCCACGTTCTGGGCTTCGTTCCTGCTTCGTCATCGCAGCCGGCAATCATCGCCCCGCATGGCATTAATAATCAGAACCACGCAACCGAAGGCTTGGCTTTGCACTTCGATGCCACTCCGCAGAGTCCTCCGCTCGAAGGCTCGTGGTTGCACGCGAAAAGCCCAAGCGCGAGGCTTGGCCGTAGCAAGGGCAAAAGTCCCGCTCCCGCCAATACCAACCGCCAAAGACCGGTATTGATATCGGGAAGTCTCGACAATACGTTGAAGACGTGGGACGTGGAAACTGGTGAAACGATTTCCACAATGTTTGGTCACGTAGAAGGGGTGTGGGCGGTGGCCAGTGATAACCTCCGTCTGGTTTCTGGAAGCCACGATCGTACCATTAAGGTATGGGTTCGCGAGGAAGCCAGATGCATGGCTACGCTAGTAGGCCATCGCGGTGCCGTGACATGCCTTTCATTGGGCGATGATAAAATTGTTTCTGGTAGCGATGACGGTGACATACGGGTATGGAACTTCTCGCGCTGACGGCTTTATTTATGACTTGGTCTTGCTTCCCTTTTTCTTTCGTTGAGTTGCTTTCTGGTATCGTGTTCTCTGTATTATCTCCTGCATTCGCATTTGCTATCTCAGTATTTGGTCCTGTTCGTTGTATCGACAGTAGTAATTTTCTAATTTTGACTATACTTCCCAACGCCTGTTCATGTGATTGGCACTCAGATGCAGGAAAATGCTCTCCATCTCCAGTATAACGCTAAGGGCAACAATGCGCGTAACAGATCTACAAGAAAATGCGATACATCATATGCTAATAATATAGATCATGCAGTCCTCCAAATACAACGAGCTAAATTGA